CCCCGGAGCCACCACCGCCCACTGCGTCTCCGCTCGGCGAGGCGAAGTGTGTAGCTGCGTGCTAGGCGCTCAGTCCGTGGACGGGAAGGCGCTCTGTTCCATCTTAGTAGAGGTACCAGAATTAGAAAGTAAAAACTACAGTGTGTCCACTTAATTTGAACTTAAGAGAGGCAACGAATCATTTTTTAACAGCATTATTAAAATATAACACATTCTATACAACCCACCCATTTAAGTTTTTGGTACGTTACTTTAGTTTTTTTTAATGTGATATAATAAAACATAAAAATTTGCTATTTTATGTATACAATACAATCGCATTAATTGCATTCACAATTTCCTGCAACCATCATCACCAACCATTTTTAAAACTTTCCCAGTTCTCCCCCAGCTCCTGGTAACAACTAATTAACATGAACTATTTTGGGCGTACTCGTAGTTAAAAAAACAAAAGAAAAGAAAAAACCAAAATGACTCTTTTGTTTATCTGACATTCAGATTGAACTGGATGTATTTTATCTGGCAACCCTATTAGCAGGAGGTGGAGGTCTTGGGCCACGACACAGCCCACAACGAAGCTGCTCCTTTGGAGCCCGCTCCGGGCAGCTGCAAAGTGTAATCAGCTGCGGATAACGAGCTCACAGAAAATTTACATAATTCTTCGGCGCTGGAGCAGGAAGGCCTTTACTTGGGAGAAGGCAAGCCCAGGGCCTAGCCTAAGAAGGAGGCGGGAAAAGAACGCTGAGATATTGGAATAACACTCTACACTCAACGCTTGATTCTTTGCTATTAGGTCGATTTTCCCTTAAACGCTTGCGCTAGAGGACTGTTTGTAAACAGACACTCGTCACTTCTCTAACAGCCGATTCGTCAAAACAAGTCAAAGGCAAGGAAACCTGGAGAGGCGTCTGCCTGGGGGCAGGTGAAGCGAAGGCGTGCAGGAAACCACCCCTGCCCTGGTCTGTCCCACTCCACTCAGCCCAGCCTCACCTTCTAGATATCAGGCGGCCAGAGCAAGGCGCAGGCATCAGTGTTGAAAGTGCTGAGACGGAATAGGAGAGCAGGGCGGAGGTGCTGTGATACCCGGGCGCGGGCGCGGGCGCAGGCGCAGAGACGCGGGCGGGAAGATGGCGGCCGGGTTCAAGTGAGTGTGGCGGCCGGCGGGCTCGAGCTGGGACCCTAGCGGATGACGGCTGTCTTTACCCTTAGCTGGGATTTTTCTCAGCGGGTGGCCACCCCACTGGGTTCCCACTTCTTTCCACCACGGAAGCAGGCGGGCTGGAGGACTGCAGGTGGCCGTAGTGAAAGGAATGGGTCCGTCTTTCCCCAGTGAGGCAGGTGATGCAAGGGACAGTGTGTAGAGTTCTGTACCCGCTGCGACTGCAGTGGATGCGCTGCTTCAGGAGACACAGTTAACAATCTTTTAAAGAAGTGTTCCGTCAGAACCACATGCCACCCTATTCTCCACCTTCTGTAGTTTATTTCTAAAAGCATTGTGCCTTGTTTAGAAGGTTTTACTGAAGCGTTTTGGGGGGCCACTCTGCGGAAGTCTGTACATTTCCCTTCTGAGAATCTAGTTTTAGATGGATGAAATAAATAGGATTCCAAAGGAAACCAGCTATATTGAAACACTTCTCTATGTATATAAACTCCGAGTTTACGATAAAGTGAGATACATAATCTGTTGTAGAATTTACCTGAAGCAAGATCTAATGGGGAGTTCAGTAACTCCCCTGGAATTTCGAATAACGAGTCTTCCACGTACCTTCGGTAACCATAAAGTAACAACGAAAACGTTTAATCTCTGGCTGCTGAAGTCGCAGGTACAGCTAATGTAAGGGTTTATTGCTAACTTATCTCGTATTTTAAACATTTTCAGAACTGTGGAACCTCTGGAGTATTACAGGAGATTTTTGGTAAGTGAAGATTATGTACATGTTATGCCTTTTATGATGATTTAATACGGTTTTTTCATAAACACAGATACTACATTGCACACCTAAACCAATGTTACGTGCTCAGTTTTTAAACTACTGTTTTCAATTAATTCAAATTAATTTAACGAGGTTTAATGTGTTTTCCCTGGTGTGTGTAAAATATCCGTGTAGATGTAATCTACTTTCATATATTTATTTAGAAGGAGAACTGCCGTCCTGATGGAAGAGAACTTGGTGAATTCAGAACCACAACTGTCAACATAGGTAAGGATATTTTGAGTTCTAAAATAGAATGTTGAGGTTACTTCATTTCTGAAAATAGAATTTTTCTTGTGTTTTTATAATAGATTTTTTATTTGTAAAGTTTTTTAAATTCACTTCTCTCTCAATTGATGTGTTCACTTTAAATTTTAAAGTAACTGTGTTTTCCACCCTTCCTTCCTTCAAAATTTCCAAGACATGGTTTTCTTACATACCTTACACTTAATTAAACCTTCTGTTGTAAACATGGAATTTTCCAATTTTACCTATATGACATTCTCAGGTTTTAGACTCTGAGCTATTTAAACAGTATTTCAGACAAATTCTACCATGTATAAGGGATTACAGTAATTTTGTGTCAAGAGATTTAATCTGTATAAGTCCTGTTATTGAATGATAAGTGGATTAACTCAAATTCAAGGACAGTGAATATTTAAAACAGTATGGTTGACCCTTGAACAACGAGAGGCTTAGGGGTACCGACCCTCGCACAAAAATCCAAGTAATTCAGAATTGGTACTTCCTATCTGTGGTTCTGCATCTTCAGATTCAACCAACTGTGGATCGTGTAGTACCATAGTAGTTAGTATTTAATGAAAATAATCCTTCTGTGAGTGGACTGGTACAGTTCAAACCTGTGTTGTTCAAGGGTCAACTATAATTTTAAAAAGACTCAAGCCGGGAATAAATTCTCATAAACAACTGAGATAATGTAGCATGATAAAATGTAGATGAAAACTTTTTCATTTTGCTTAAATACTTATCTTTTCAGGTTCAATTGGTACCGCAGATGGGTCTTCTTTAGTGAGGCTGGGAAATACTACAGTAATTTGTGGAATAAAAGCGGTAGGTTTAATGTATGTATTGTTAAGATTTGAGTTACCAAAATAGCTTCGTATACTTATTAGATTGTAATATACGCCTGTAGTTCCACTGTTGGTTAGGTAGTGACGTGTCAGTTTTTTAGTATTTGTTTTCATTTCCCAAGTTTTCACTTTTGAGTTTTAGATACTACAACCCAAGTTTAATGACTCAAATTTGTGAACATTCGCAAATGTGCTGAAATGAAACAATTAAAAGTCCTC